TCTCTGATCTCTTTCTCTGCTTCATGGACTCCTCTTGATCCAATCCATAAAACTAAAGAACATATAATATAATATAATATATCTCAAAAAAAGAAATATATTAACTTGCTCTACGAAAAAGTCATATCCATCTATAAATTATTTACAATGATTTCGACACCATTTCTTTTGGTTACTTCCTAATTTTATCATATCTCAAGGGTTTTTTTCTTTTATAAATATTTATATAAAAATTATTTTACAATATATATTATATTAGATTGTAAAATGTAAATTTTTTAATGGGATACAAACATTTTCATTGGAGAATTCTTCTTTAATTAAGAGTTTATATTTTACAAATCAAACTTTTAGAGTACAAAACAATATACTCATGTTCATAACAAAAGGTTTTCTATATGAATTATGAAGTACATCAAGAGAAAGTTAAACAGAAAAATAATACACTTTTTTCGTTTCACATTAATTTTACTTAATGGAGAAATGAAAGTTTACATACTAAGAGAAAAAAAAAAAAAAAAAAGAATCATATGAGCATGTTAAACTTTTTATCTTTTTTTTTTTTTTTTGAAAAGCAAAAAATTATTATTGTTGTTAAAGATACAAGGGTATAATTCAAAATTTAAACATTTATGAAATAGAAGTTAAGGAACGAGTAAATCAGATCAACCATAGCAAAAACTGATTCCTCCTATACGTATAGCTTTGGGTTAAACATCCAGTCGAAAAGAAGCTTCCTGATTTTCCTCCATACCTTAGCCAATGATTAAACATTTTTAGGTGTGTATTTTAAAGTTTTAGAAACAATTATTAGTTATTGGCTCTAATTAAATAGATTGGATATTCTAAATTATAAATAATAATGATTATTAATTATTAAATACTCTTTTTATTTATTTTTAGTAGATATAGTTTGACTTTTTTATTTTTAAGACATAAATTTTATATGAAAATTTAATGATTTTTATAAAAACAATTTTTTTTTTGTCCCTATATATAGTTCTTGTTAAGTATTTTTATTTGATCAAGAAATTTTATAATTGTTGTTTTTATAGATTGTTAAAGTTTTACTTAAAATTCACATTTTAAAAATTAAAAAGTCAAATTTGGTCTCATAAAAATAAATGAATGGGAGTATTAACTATTAACTAATAGCTAAATTTAAATAGTTAATCCAAACACCTCATTCATCATTTGTCAACCTAAAATAATTAATAAATAGATAGCCTAATTGGTCTCATAGATATATCTAAAGTTTGGCTTAATTCTCTTTTTTTATGTGCCTTTTGTTTAATTAAATATATCTTTAGCATAGTGCTCATGAATTATGAATTCATAAAGCTGTTTTATAAGATGAGTTATATATTAAAATTGCAGTTTATCTTATAAATTTATTTAAATAATTT